TCAACAAGCGGGCCTGACCTAGGGTGAATTTTAAATAGGGATAATTTTTAATGATTTTAAATAGTCACAGCCACTAATATTTGGATTTTAATTGGTTTTTAGAAGGGGTAATTCTGTATATTGTTTTAACATGCTGTGAGCCGCCCTGAGTCCCATGGGGAGAAGGGCGGCATATAAATTTTGTAAAAATAAAAATAAATAAATAAAAATAAATATTTTGCTCAATCCTATAATGCCAGCTTTGTCTAGACTCTAGAGTCAGAAGCTATGGAGAATCATGTCTGGTTAGTATTTAGATGGGAAAATCCATGGTTATAGGCTAGATTGAATAGTCAAAAAAGCATAATGGAATAAACAATAACAACCACTTTAGTGGTATGGCAAGAAAAGTATAGGTTTGCATATAGTCATCAGGATTTGAGCTCAGCTTGAAGGAAATATGCTATCTTTTGCCTAAGTGTAAAACCTTACTTTTATCTATGTTGAATTTCATTTTGGTAGATAGCGCCCAGTGAAATTGGTAATACGTCATCCTTTTTATTTGAAAGTTGGTGTCAGATGAATCTGAATGGACAGATTGACTAAATCTGGATATGAGGTGCTAAAAAGTAATCCCCACTTTGGATATTTTAATCCTTGGGATAGTTTAATCAAAGAATGGAATGGATGGATGAATAAGGGCAAACATAACTGATTCCTTAGACTTGCAATTCTATTTATAAGCATGGATTCTGTGAAATTCAAAAGAAAGGATGCTGGCAATTCTCTGGTATTGTCAGACATGAAAGATCAGGTCTACACATAAAGGTCCAATTAAATTGATGTATTGCTAATCATGCCTATGCCCAAGAATCTTCTCAACTGATGGTTAACACCTGCTTGGGGTTAGATAAAGGTCAACAGAATTCAAAGGAGGTTAGACTTTGTGTAGGGATCCTAGGCTGATCTTCTTTTAACTCCAATCCCAGGTTCTGCCATTTCTTCTCCTGTAGGTATGTACAAAAAGGAGAAATCTCCTATTTTGAGAGAAGAGAAATTTACAGAATAGTTTATTGAGGTTTGGCTTTGCAATGAAATGTTTAAATTGTATGAAAACATGTCTCAGATTAGCTCTTGAGATATCTATGGTGTGATAGCTAGTAAGAACTGAAAGGACGCTATTTTAGGTATCTTTTGAATTGTACAAAGCTGTAATGATTGAACTATTAAACAGCTATTTAGCAGGCCTGAAAAGAGGAAAAACCTGAAAAATTCTGGATGATGGAAAAGTCAAGCTGAATTATTTTTAAAGGAAAGAGAGTGATCCTTATGATTTGGAAAAAGGAAGGAAAGTGTTCAATGTTATTTTAAATACTGATGATAGAATCTTTTCCCACTTCTCTTGTATAAATCGGATAGGATGTAATATTTCCCAAGATTATATGTGGAAATTACTAGCTTTAGTGGCCGTATACTGTATTTACTAAGCTAAATCTAAGTTTAGGATTAGATGATCCAATTACTATTCTTAACTGTGCAGCAACTCCTCTGGATTTCCACTGACATAATTTCATAGCTTTCTGGGAATGTGAAAAACATTTCTTGAAGACTTGAACACTGGGCCCTATCTAACAAAATGAAATTTAATGTAGAGAAAAGCAAGGTTTTACATTGAGGCAAGAAAAACCAACTGTATAGGTATAGACTAGGTTAAACTTGGCTTAATGCCAGTAGCTGTGAGAGGGATCTTGGCGTCCTAGTGGACAGTCACTTAAATATGAGCCAACAGTGTGCGGCTGCAGCCAAAAAAAGTCAATGCAATCCTAGGCTGCATTAACAGAGGGATAGAATCAGTGGTGGGATTTAAATATGTGAACAACCGGTTCTCTGTGTGGATGCCGCTTCCAGAAATCCGTTCTGGGCCTGGGCAACAAAAAATTAGCTACCGGTTCTGCTGAACTGGTGCGAACCAGCTGAATCCACCACTGGATAGAATCAAGACCACATGAAATTCCAATATCGCTTTACAAAGCTTTAGTAAGACCACACTTGGGATACTACATCCAGTTCTGGTCACCACAATATAAAAAAGATGTTGAGACTGTGGGAAGAATGCAGAGAAGACCAACAAAAATGATTAGGGGAGTGGAGGCTAAAACATATGAAGAACAGTTAAAGGAATTGGGTATATCTAGTCTAATGATAATAAGGATTAGGGATGATATGATGGCACTGTTCCAATATTTGAGGGGCTCTTATAAAGATAAGGGGATCAAGTTATTTTCCAAAGCACCAAAATGCAAGACAAGCAACAATGGTTGGAACCAAGGAGAGAAGCAACCTGGAAGTAAGGAGAAATTTCCTAATGGTGAGAGCAATCAACCAATGGAATAGGTTGCGTTCAGAAAGTGTGGAGGCTTTCAAAAATAGACCGGACAGCCATTTGTCTGAAATGGTATAGGTTCTCCTGCTCGAGCAGAGGGTTGGAATAGAAGACCTCCAAGGTCCCTTCCAACTCTGTTATTTTATGTTCTGTGTTCTAGCATGATTACTAGAAATAGCAGACATTTGGGTTTTCTCACCAACAGTCAACAAGCGAAGTGTTTGAAGCAAATACACATGTGGTGTACGTGTATGTATTACGTTTATAAAAGGATATGTTTAAACTGAAAATTACAGTAGTGAAACACTTTTATTGGATGTCTCATGGTCGTTCGAAGAAGAGACACTTATAATCTCCAATAAACATATAAATAACATGATAACAATCGTCAGAATTAACACGAGTCAGAATATCTTAAGGACAATCGTTAATAGTTAATAACCATAAGGTAAAATGGCAATTGGAACAAGATCCTTCTTTTTAAAAAAATCACACCATACAAATTAGCTAGAAATACTCTACATATGACAATTAAAGCTGCACAAAGCATTTAAAAGAAAAAACAATTCAGCTGCACAACCCTGTCAAAAGATGCATTTTACAACATTCATTAGCTCAAACAAAGCCACGTTTTGCCAAGTGGTAAAACTGTAGCATCTTTTGAAGAAATGCTTTGATTTTCCAGATTTCTGCACTGGACAAACACTTCCACTTCAACCTTGTGTTGATCATCGAATATTCAATATTATTCTCCATTCATGCTCCCCCCGTACTAAGGCAAAGGTGTCTGTAGGGAGGGGATACAGTCAAAATGGCAGCAGAAACTGTGGGATCAAAGGCTAGCCTCGATTCTACAGTTTTATGTGTCAGCTTTAGGGGAATTGTCTTGCAGAGATAATGACTACTGTGGGTGATATGAAATTGGAAATCTCTGTCCCTCCCTATGTTTACACAAAAGCCATTTGCAGGAGACAACCAGGAGCACAGGAGTCTTGTGTTGTCCTTCATAGTTTGTCTGGGTTCTCACTTCACTGCCTGATACGCCAGTTGCACCCCTTTCTGGATTGTGACGCTCTACGCATGGTCACTCAAGCCCTCGTTGTTTCCCGCCTGGACTATTGCAATGCTCTCTACATGGGGCTCCCCTTGAGGTGCACCTGGAGGCTCCAGCTAGTTCAGAATGCGGCCGCGTGGGGGATTTTGGGGGCCTCTAGATACTCCCATGTAACACCTCTCCTGCGTGAGCTGCACTGGCTGCCTGTGGCCTTCCGGGTGCGCTTCAAGGTGTTAGTAACAATCTTTAAAGCACTCCATGGCAATGGACCTAGGTATTTGCAAGACCGCCTCCTACCAAATACCTCCCTTCGACCAGTCCGCTCCCACAGAGAGGGCCTCCTTAGGGTGCCGTCAGCCAGTCAATGCCGGCTGGCGACCCCCAGGGGGAGAGCCTCCTCTGTGGCAGCTCCTGCCCTCTGGAATGACCTACCCCCCGACCTACGTACAACTGCGGACCTGCGCCTTTTTCGCCGAGCCCTGAAAACCCATCTATTTCGTGCGGCTGGCCTGGCGTAGTCTTAATTAGGTTTTAGTATAGGTTTTTATATGGGGTATTTTAGAGCAGGCCTTTATTTATTTAATTTGATTTTAGAATAGATATTTATTGTGATTTTTATTATCGCCTGTTCACCGCCCTGAGTCCCGTAAGGGAGATAGGGCGGTACACAAATCTAAATAAACATAAACATAAACCATACCAAGAACATATTTGGGCATCTTTCTTCCTTGAGGGAAGTGCAGATAGAGCCTTGGTTTCAAGTGGTTCAGCGGCCTCACCTCATACAGTTCTTCTGAGGAAGACACCAGGTGTTCGAGAAAGAACTACCTCACCCTTGCAGGTGTACAGGAGTTAATGTCTTCGGTTTATGAGCTTCACCCAAGGAATTTGGAGGGGGGGAGTGAGGGGGGGGAGAGATTTGCTGGATTCAGATCTATACACAGAGAGGGGAGAAGGTTTCTGTGAAAGATCTGCAGTAGGAAACCTATCTGCATGTACACTAGTGCACCACAGAATCACTGAGATGAGAGTTCTATGTATTTTTCCTGATGCTAATATACCTGACAAGATGCACACAGATAATCAGTGCAAATCCCTGTATTAAAACTGCAAATTCAAAATGAAAACTAAGCTGCATCAGTGGGAGACTTGTATTCCCTGTCAGATATAATCACAGATACAATTTCATTCCATGTTCCAGGCAAAGGACCCAGAGCTGAAAAATGGAAAGAGGGACACATAACTAAGGCAGAATACCAGCATATAGCCCAAATCTCTCAGGAAAGCTAAGGCTCAGAATGAACTAAGACTTGCAATAAATGTCAAAAATAATAATAAAAAAAGAAGAAAGTCAAAGAAACAATTGGTCCACTAATGGGATAAGATAGTAAGCAAGTGATAGGCAGCAGGCAGAAAGCAGAGCTGCTTAATTCTTTCTTTGCATCTATCCTCACACAAAAAGAAAAAATAGCCCAGCCTAGCAAAAAGAGAACTGTAAAAGATAGACTAGGAATTCAAATTAAAATAAGCAAGAAAATGGTAGATGTATTCAAATCACCAGGACCTGATGGATGAATTCTGAAGGAGCTGGCAGATGTGATCTTGGAACCATTAAACCATATCTTTCAAAGATCCTGGAACACCGGGAAACTACCAGAGGACTGGAAAAGAGCTGATGTGGTTCCTATCTTCAAAAAAAAGGGGGGAGAAACAGATCCAGGAAATTACAGACCAATCAGTCTGATGTCAATACCTGGGAAGATCCTGGAAAAGATAATAAAATCTAGAAGCAAGCAAAATTATAACCAGAAACTAACATGGATTTGTCAAAAAGAGATTATGCCAAACAAATCTTATTTCATTCTTTGACAAAGTGACTAAAGTAGTGGACAAGTGAAATGCTGTGGACATAGTATACATTAGGCATTTGACAAAGTAGACTGCAACCTACTTCTTGGTAAGCTAGAAAAGTGTAGGATAGACAACATCACCACCAGATGGATTTGTAACTGGCTAACAAACCGCACTCAATGTGTAGTCCTTACTGGAACTACCTCTACATGGAGGGAAGTAAGCACTGGGGTTCTGTTTTAGGCCCAGTATTCTTCAGTATCTTCATAAACAATTTAGATGAGGGAATAGAAAGGAAACTCATCACATTTGCAAACCATACCAACTTCACAGGGATAGCCAACACTCCAGAATATAGGCTCAAGTTCTAGATGGATCTCGACAGATTTTAACACAGGGCCCTATATAATGAAATGAAATTCAGTGTAGAGAAAAGTAACGTTTTACACTTAAGCAAGAAAAATCAAATGTACAGGTACAGATTGGGTGAAACCTGGCTCAATAGCCATAACTATGAGAGGGATCTTGGAGTCTTAGTAAACAATCACTTAAATGTGAGCCAGCAGTGTGCTGCAATTTTTTTATTTATTTATTTATTATTCCAATTTGTATCCCGCCCTTCTCCCGAAGGACTCAGGGCGGCTCACAACATTATTAAAACAAAGAAAGCCGATGCCATCCTAGGCTGCATTAACAGAGGGATAGAATCAAGACCACATGAGGTTCTACTGGTAGTATTACTTTAGAAGGCCTTGGCAAGGCCACACTTGGACTACTGCATCCAGTTTTGGTCACCACAATATAAAAAAGATGTTGAGACTCTGGAAAGAGTGCAGAGAAGAGCAACGAAGATGATTAAGGGGATGGAGGCTGAAACATATGAAGAACAGTTGCAGGAATTGGGTATGTCTAGTCTAGTGAAAAGAAGGACTAGGGCCGAGATGATAGCATTCTCCCAATGTTTGAGGGGCTGCCACAAAGATGAGGGGCACAAACTATTTTCAAAGGTACCAGAAAGCAAGACAAGAACCAATGGATGGAAACTAATCAAAGAGAGAAGCAACCTAGAACTAAAAAGAAATTTCCTAATGGAGCCTTCAGAAGTTGTGGGTGCCCCATCACTGGCGGCTTTTAAAAAGAAACTGAACAGCCATTTGTCTGAAATGGTATAGGGTCTCCTGCTTGAGCAGGGGGGTGGATTAGAGGACCTCAAAGGTCCTTCCAACTCTTCTTGTTGAAACAAAGCTTTCCCCCCAAAGTAACAGCCAACACTTTCCATAAGGAGCAGAGATAGATTCTAAAGTTAATAGGTAGTTCTAATAAAAAATAAAAAGATACAGAATCCATTTTTACCCATTTACTGGATAAAATATGATCATAATTAAGTGGAGATGAGAATAACCTGTCAACATTTCTTTCCACCCAATCCAATATACAAAATTCTCGAAATCGGGCAAACATGATTATCATCATAATTTTTTGGATACCCCCCCCAATATATAAATTAGGTCATTGTTTCTCTGCAACTTTAACATGCTGGCTGGGGAATCCTTAGAGTTGGTCCACATATCTTAAAGTTGCAGAGGTTGAGAAAGACTGAATAAAAGAAGGTAATGGGTCCATCTAATTGGTTGCATTGCTCTGTAAGGATCTGAACTATTGCTTTGTAGTGAACAATATGTTGATCAATATGTAGTATAGTTCTAATGTCAGTTATTCAAATCTATGTTATGCAAAATGATAACATGGATTGTTATTGATATAATTATTTCAGATTCCAGATTGGGTGGAGCCTGTTCAAATCGCCGAGTCAATGCTAGCAAAAGTCATTTCCTGTCTGCTGAAGAATGTCTCAGCCAGTATAGTGACAAGCTTGCGGAAGAATATGGGGTAATTGCATTCAGATTTCTCATCATTATTAATTTTGTTTGAGTATTTATTTTCAAAGACAGGAAAATCAGGAGGTTTAGGCTGTTTAGAATGAATACAAAGGTTTATTGCAAGAATAAACTTCTTCTCTCTACAAGAATCTGAACTACTAATGGTCAAAGCAAATTGGCAGTAGATCAGTAGATCAGAGTTAGGCAACACCTAACTGAACAGTTTATAGAACATTTTCTTCATAAGCTATGGAGATATGGAGAACAATGGTCTTCTGAATTATTGTGACCATTTTCTCTTGGTCTTAGATATCTCACAAGGTCTCTGAGGCCTATTTGAACAAAGTAATTTCTTGCCTTGGCTTATGATCTTCCTGATCACTTCACTCTGGGGTTTCAAAATATTCCAGTGTTTATGAGGGAAGAACAGTAGCATCTCAATAAAAGTTTTGGAAAAGAATCAGAGTGTGGCTGGCGTTGATTGAGTTGTTTAGGAGCAAATGTTGTGAATTAAATACGCAGGTAAAAATAACATATCAATAAACACTTCAAACTTTTTAAAATTTACAGTAAGTTTACTTTATAGTTTACAGTTTATTGGAAGGAATCTTTCATGTCCTATTACAGATCTACTTTCTATATGTGCAGTGTCATAATCTGAGTTGCTGTTGCATTCTTTTATAAAGAATTTATAATTTTATTTCAAAGCTTATACTTTATAAAATTGGGTTGAGTTGATATGGTTGAACCATACAATCAATGTATACTTCAACTTCCAGAATTCCCCAGCCAATACACTCATCTTAAAGTTACCAAGTACTGAAGAATATTGGGATAAACTATCTGCTAGGTGTTTACCGAATCATGTTTACCTTTATGTTTATCTTTTTTGCATGTAAGAGAATCAGCTATGGAATTTTTAAAATAATTTATTGAATGCTTAGAACAAATTAATCAGAATAGGATACACTATTAAAAACTTTTAGATGGTTGTCCAAACTGGCTTTAAAAGAAAACATTCAGATTTCCCATGTGACATATTTCCTAAATAGTTTTAAATTTAGAATTTGTACCAATAATCCAGTAAAAAGATTAATTTTAGAAAATATTTTTAGCTGAAGAGTGAATGTTATAGTATAATATAGTATAGTATATACAGTAGTATAACATAGTTTCTGTGAGTGGAAAATAAAAGGGTTGATCCAATTTTGATACTCAGTTGAATATTCCCTACTAGGATGCATATATTGCCTTCCGTAAAATAGATAGGAACAATGATGGTGTAATCACAATGCTTGATTTCCGACGCCTGCTGGACAGTCTCATGATCAGCATGACAGATGAGGAATACGTGCGTCTTCTTGGTATCTTGGGAATGAATGAGACCTCCACTCTGAATTATCCGGAATTCCTTCAGTTGTTCCAAACTCATGCAACTAAAGAGATGCGTCCTTGGTTGACCACAACTTACAAGTAAGAAGAATAAAAATTTGGTTTATTTTGATTTACATTATCATTACATCATTATTTAATTAGTTCTGAAATTTGCAGGCCTCGTGTGATATGGTGCTGAGTCTGCATATGGATGGAAGGTTGAACAACAGGCCCTGTAGTGTAGTCGTAATAATCTGGAGTTGAACATGCTTAAAACTGTAAAGATGAGAATGGACTTTGGGAGGAGTCCTTCTATTTTACCCCCTCTTACTATATTCAACAGCACGGTAACAGCAGTAGAGTCTTTCAGTTTTTTGGGTTCTATAATCTCCCAGAACTTAAAATGGGTGCTCAACATTAGAACTATCATTAAAAAGGTACAACAAAAAATGTTCTTCCTGCATCAGCTCAGGAAGTTCAGATTGCCCCAGGAGCTGTTTACAATTTTACAGAGGAATTATTGAGTCTGTTATTTGTATAACTATCTGGTTTGGTACAGCAACCAAACAGGTACAAGCTCCAACAGATAGTTAAGACTGCAGAAAGAACAATTGCCACCAGCTTGCCTTCCATAAAAGGCCTAGGAGGATAAGAAGATATCTGCAGACCCCTCACATCCTGGACATAAACTGTTTCAACTCCTTCCCTTGAAATGGCACTAAAGGGCATTGTATGCCAAAACAACTAGACACAGGGACAGCATTTTCCCTCATGCCATCGCTCTGCTGAACACCTAATTCAGTGTTGCCTAATGTCTATTAACCCATGTAGTATGACTATAGTGTTATTATTTATCTTTTCTTATTTTCTTTACTCCCCTTTTATTGGTATGATTATTATTATGATTAATCTTTGATTCGATTAACAGTCCGGGACTGGTAAAAACTTAACAGTTCAAGTCCTAACCAAGGACCTAAGAGCTGTTAAGGTAGCATCTGAGTATATAGGCAGTTCCGAGTTGGGTGGTTTTTGAAAATTCAGGATATTCAGATCTAATAAATTCAAAATTTCTATGTATCTAGGCAGTTCTTTGGGTATTGCTCCAAGGGCTCCTATTGCTATTGGTGCAATTGTTGATTTCTTCTTCCGTATAGTCACTCAACTTCAATTTGCAAATCACAATATTTTGTTATTTTTATCTAGCTGTTTCTCTTCAATTCGTGTATCACATGGTATTTCAATATCAATGAACCAGACTAATGATGATGATGATGATGATGATGATGATGATGATGATGATGATCCAGTCTAAACATATGGCTGACTATGCAATGATCAGTAATAATAATTGCACAGTCAGCCAGATGTTCAAACTGTATTTGGCATTTTTTTCTTCCTATCGAATCCTTATCAAGGATCTGGGATAGGCAGATGTGGATGTCTGATGATGTTACAGATATGGTTGCAGAATGGAAGCTGTTTCCAGTAAGGCTGCCTTTTGCAATTGACATGGGAAATTTGTCAGTGCCAATGGTGTTCAAGTGGTGTTCCAGTTGTTTTGGGATACCACTCTATTACTATTGGTGCTACCTTTGCTTGCCTTTGCCACAGTCATTTCCATGTATAGGTCTTTGTATTTTGTTATCTTCTCCAGTTCTTTCTCTTCTCTTCTGCTGTCTCCAGGCACTGCCTATTGGTATTGCTGTTGTTGTTGTTGCTGGAGATTTAATCTTCTTAATCTTCAATTCGATTCACAGTCTGAGACTGGTAAAACCTTAAGAGAGAGCTAACATCTAAGTAGATGATGATGATGATGATGATGATGATGATGATGATGATGATGATGATGATGATGATGATGATGATGATGATGATGATGATGATGATGATGCTTTGCATGTACACGAGTGCTTTTGTACCAGAGACAAATTTCTTGTATGTCTAATCACACCTGGCCAAATAAAGTATTCAATTCAATTCAGTTCAATTCAAGTCATTGCATTAATCTGAAATAAATTAATACTGGATTTAGGATACAAAATATTTCAAGATAGAATCAGAACATCATTCTGTTCTTTTTGGTAGGAATGTAAGAATATTTGACAGTGTATAAATGAATATATGATGAATGATGAATGATGAATGAATGTATTTTTGCTTTTTAAATACTTAGTAATGTTTAAAAATCAAGCATTTCCATAATTATCATTTTCAGACCTTACATACAGAATTTTTAAAAATTTCAGCCATTTGTCTGAAATGGTATAGGGCTTCCTGCCTGAGCAGGTGGTTGGACTAGATGACCTCCAAGGTCCCTTCCAACTTTATTATTATTGTTGTTGTTGTTGTTGTTGTTATTGTTGTTGTTGTTGTTGTTGTTGTTGTTGTTGTTGTTATTATTATTATTATTATTATTATTATTATTATTATTATTATTATTATCAATTCTACCAAGTAGACCAGGAATCAATTCCATAGGAAGGTTAGATCTACTTTTATTGAGAATGGCTATAACAACAAAATCTTGTGACTTTGATTGTGCTGGGTCGCCCCTTTTGTTATGCCCATGAGAATTAAGAGAGTCATCTGCCTGAGCATATGCATACTTGTTTGGGACTTAAACTACACTTTCTCCTTGTAATAATGGATATGGCTTATCTCTGTCAAGATCATCTTTCTTTCTACTATAACTCAATGAATCAAGTTTATTTATTTAAAAGATTTGGTTCCAATATACCAAAATGAACTGAAATGTGATTGGCAGCCCCCATTTGGGTGATCATGCCAAAATTGTGGAATAATCCACAGAAAGACAAAAAAAAGTTTGGGCTACACCTTTTTGGTTTTAGGAATCTATTGTAATTTTCACCCAAAACTTATATGTTCTATAATCTACAGCTTGTAGGATTTTTGGCTGGTGTTTTTTAATTGTTATTTAAAGTTCCTATTTGTGTTTAATTATATTGCTTTCCATTGCACTGTTATTTCTGAAAGCAACTTTGTTTTTCAGGGAAATGAGATATAAATAAATATTCTATTATACATTCTCTATGCGAAGTCTGAAGTATAACCACTTGATTTTCAACATCCTGTAGCTCAGCTGTAAGGTAACCTAGGCAACCATTTAAGAAGCTTTTAAAAACGTCCTCATCACAGATCCACAATATTGGAAAATTGATGAGAAATCTGGAAAACCACAGCAGTTCTTTAAAACAAAAAAAATTGTGGGGTTCCAGTTTCATGGAAGGGGGAGCACAAAAGTGCCTGTTGGTCATGCTTCTTCCATTGCATCCGTTCAACTCTTACCACCTCTAGGAACTGAAGGGCTAAAATCTACATAAAGAATGTGCTCTACCAGCATCCACATCCATGATTTTGAATTGGTTTTCTTGAAGTCATCAGTTCCAATGAGACCATATTTGGAGTTCTGAGAACAATTCTGGACAGTACTTTTCCAGAAAGGTATTGATAGGTTAGAACAGGAAAGCAAAGAAGGTGACAAAGGTGATATCGGACGTATGAGCATAGTCTAAAAGAACTTGGGATAGTCAGCCTGAGGAAAAGAATTTGGAGGGGAAAGATTATTTATTATTTATTTAATTCAATTTATATGCCGCCCTTCTCCCGGCGGGACTCAGGGCGGCGCACAACATATTTAAAACAAAGGCATATATACAATCCCCCCCTGTAAAACCGAATTAAACCAAATTTTAAAGTTGTGTTATTTCAAATTCCTTAAAATGAACCCAGTATAAAATCCTCCCTAGGCCAGGTCCGCTTGCTGAAA